GATGTAGACATGAACGACTGCTCCAAAATGACAATATCTCACGAAAACCTGGGCCGCCGCCATTTTAAAATCAAGTACGCAGCCACGCCTACCCGATCTCAGGGATTTTGAGTTTACAATAACTTTGGGCGCTCCTCGGCTAAGAGGGGACATTTTGCCCTTCCACTAGTTCCACTCGCTAGTCCATGGTAACTAATAGGTCTCTTTGGGAGACCTAGGAACTTTTGTAGATCTGTGAAATGGTACAACTGAGTCAGTTTAGGGACAAGAACTCGCAGATCTCTACAAGGTGACCTGTATAAGGACGCGTTCAGACTTCGCGATGACGCGCGTCGACATGCTGTAATTAGGGCACGCCATCGCGTTGTGATGAAGTTCTACTAAATACGACGCCCCCCATTAAAAAATGGTCACAGTACGACCTACCCCCCCCCCCTGTCTGCTGCTAATCTGGTAGCAAATATGCCGACAAATAATGGTTTATCTGCTGCCAGCAGTTAATCATTCATCTGGTAGCAGATAAACGATTTATTTGCTAGCATATTTGCTACCAGATTAGCGGCGACAGGGGGATTGTATTGAGAGCATTTTTAATAGGGGGGGGGGTCGTAATGAGTAGAAATTTTCTTTGAAGACACGCTGCGTTTATCTTGATGTTCATGGCCTTCCTTGAGCATAGTAGTCTTGTCCGCAAGCAGGATGGAGAATGATCTGCTTTCGCAGCTCAAAAATATGTGAGGTAAACGCGACCCGCAGGCGACAAAGGCACCGCCCCGCCCATTAGTCATGGCAACGCCCAGCTTTCATTTCGAAAGGCTTCCTGGTGGTGCGGTTGTTCCGACTAACTTCCCCATCTTGAACTGTGAGAGTGAGGTGATAAGAAAGAGCTAGCAGCAACAAGTGAGAGCTCGTCCGACCACGCCCCTTGTTTCTTTGTTTGTTCGTGCTAGCATGCGGTTCCATACGAGGCATTTTGGGTGCAATTTTAGTGCTTTTTCCTCACGCTTGTATTATTTACTGTTTTGCCTTTACTTTAAGACCCGCATAACTCATCAGTTTTGAACACGAGACGTGCCTTCAGTGTTGTCATCAAGTGAGTGCGCTGGTTTTTCGTGGGAAAGCCACGTCACCAGCAATATAGTGGAAAGTGCCGTAGTTCTGCGCCACTCATTATTCATGGCATACCAAAGAATCCATTGAATTCTGTATTTAAAATGTATTCCGCCTGGATGCACGGCATGTGAAGGTGATGTTACAAACATTTTAGTTGGAGGCACATTCCGTGATTCCCGGGTGAGCGGGGACAGACCCCAACGGATTTTTTGACTGTGCCACAGGAAAGAGGGGCGCACCAATAAAAAGCCACAAAGTTGGGTGTGACTCCACCCATACAATCAGCGCAAACTCGCAAACTTGGCCCTTGAATAATGAAATTTTCTTGTTTCACACATTCACATTCCTTGCGATAAATGGGGCACGTCGTACACTGAAGTCCCCAGACCCACTCCTGCTCGAGGGAAGTAAACTTTGGACAAGCACTAGGAAACCGGAAAAGTACTAGGAAACCGGAAGATGATAAGATGGGGAATGGTGTAAGGAGGGGTCGTACCACAGAATGAAATTTTGAAGAGGTCGCTTTTCGCGTAATTTTTCGGTAATGGCAAGACAAG